TTCAATTGAAAAATCAAACTATTTTTGTATGGAGTAGTGAAACTCTGATGAATTTGGTTTGTTTGTAACTTCAATCCACTGTTTCGTTGTCTTTGAGCTCATGCTTTGTATATAATTATATTTTTTTTTCAATTGGTTATATATAGTTTGTTTAGGGTTTTAGTGAATTGGGTGAGGAGATAGGTTTTTATCACGATTTTAATAGGTTATAGCTGATTATGAGAATAATTTTTATCAGATTTCCTCTATTTTTCAACAGTTTAGTTGGTATTAAGTCTTGATTTAATAATTTGATGTTGATTGCCCTGATTATTGTGCATAAACTTTTTAATTAAACTTGTAGTTCCTGAATAAAATTTGGGTCATACAGATTTAAGTTACAATGATTTAAGGTTATGGGATGATTCAACTCATGGAGCTCAAGTTATAATCAGGGCAATCGACATCAAATTATCAACCTTAAATTTGGGCTCAGAGTTCTACCTTCCCTCAGGTTGAATTTTATGCTTTTTCTTTGTTGATTTTGGTGGGTATTTTGGATTTAATTTGGGTTTAATTTTATGTGGGTATGATTGTTTTTAATTGATCTGACGTTTAAATTTTCTGTGTCATTTTGTTTTGATGGTATGGTGTTCCTGGTTTCCTTGTGCTTTAAAGTTGGTTTTTTGGTATTTAAAATATTTTGGGGATGTTCTCTCGCTGAACTTTTTGAGAGGTCATGTGAATTTTACAGAGTTGAGCCCCTTCTTGTAACCAGAAAGCTGATTGCCAAGGAGACTGAAGTGACAGGAGATGGGAAATCCTTTGAGAAACTTCACTTGGGAGATTATGAATGGCTTACCCATGGAAAAACATTTGAAGCAATCTGTAGTTTTGCTTCTGGTTTGGCACAACTTGTAAATTCGAGGAATGAACGTGCTGCAATCTTTGCTGATACACAAGAGGAATGGTACATCGCAATGCAGGTACTTGGTAATCTTTTCGTTTTCCATTAATTAGAATAAGAAAAAAGCAAATTGAAAAACTTGTTGATTATGATTATGCATGTGCTTATCCAAAAAGAAACTTTTGTGCTGTAGGACTTACTTTTTGTGTGTATTTCAAGTTCATTTTACAAGTGTTTGGATTTATAGTTTATCGATTTTGTTTGATTTGTTTTGGCTGATCTTATGAAGTAATTTTCTCATATTCAATTGAAAAATTGAACTGATTTTTTGATAAAGGAGGAGTAGTGGCGGCCCGGGAGCTTTAAAGGGAAGGTCGCAAGGGGTGCTGTTTGAGTGTGGGGTCCACTTAGGTGGAGACCAAGGTTGGCTGGGTATACTCACTGGAGGTTGAGTTGGCCCGCTTTGACTCGAGCCAACTAGGAAAGTCGTTCACTCTAGCCTCTATAGCTCTATGTGCACCAATCTTCCTAGAGAAGCTATGGAATTTCGTGATTTCTCCTTTGCTACTTCTGGTAATTCTCTGTCATATTTATTTTGATTGATGTGATGATTTTAGTATTAAAAATTTGGTGGTTACAAAGATTATTTATGTTTTGTGTGTTGGTAATAATGATAAGCTTTGTTGGTTTGAATTATTAATTTGGTTTTTCTGCCATTGTTTTACCGCACACTCACCCCGCTGCATAACAATCGACTTAATTTAGTTGACGGTAGCCTATTCTAATACCACAATCAACTTAATTTAGTTGACCCCACTTATGGGATTAACGCTTTGATTGATTGATAGCCTATTCTATAGTTGATTTGACATCTTTATAAGTGAGATTTTTGACAAATGAACCTATCTATGAAGTAAGTAGTAACATCTTTGATGATATGTCCAAGAAAGTATTTTTAGCATTGATCAATACTAATATCATACAAAGTTTCTGGAAAAACGTTTTAAAAATCCAAATAGAGTCTTAATGTGATGTGTGACAATCCTACCAGTTTCCTACATATGCTGCTTCCTAAACCCAGTAAATGGGTGTTGATTGAATAAACTTTGCATAAAAATAAATCTCACAAGGAAGGACTGAGATATGTATACCCTCTTTATCATCTCACTCTCTTTCCTAACAATATTGACACCTTTCAATACTCTTATTTTTTCTTATACCCTCCCAACTTTCTACATTCTCTCCTACTTTATCTTACACCCACCCATCGTTTTACACTCTCTCTTGTTTTTTCTTATACCACTCAACTTTTTCCTTAAGCTACAAATCTGCATTGAGTCGAACAAAACAAAAAAAAAAAAAAAAAAAACAAAAAAAAAACGGAGGTAGTGTTACATTCATCATTGTAAAATATGAAAATACAGGATCATCTTGTCTGCAGTAAATATTGTACTTCTACTGTTGGGTCACTGGCCTTTTATCTGCATGGCCATCAATTCATCTTGATCATATGATCAACACATTAGTGTCTTATGTTGCTCTAAGTACTGCCAGTTTCTGCTTCAAGACTGCTCAGTATGCTACTTTTTGAAAATTTTCAATACTTATTTTTTTTCTCTTTGCCTGGTTCGTCTTGAAGTGTTTAAATATTTGATAAGCATGAAACACATTGCATTTTACTAGATATCCTTCTTTTAGAGATTTTCACATTCAAAGATCTTCAGAGCTGGGATGTTTATTCTGTCAATTTGATTACTGTTACCTGTGCAGCTGCACTGTGGGGACTTTGGTTTGTTTTCAGTTTGGTTCATTTGATTTAATAGTGGTTTAGGTTTTGATTATGGTGTTTGTTAATTGCTTGGATCAAGGAATTGTTGTTGGTTTGATTTTGTGTTAATCCAATTTAATTCTTAGTATTTTCATCAATATTTTTTTTTTTTTGGTAAGTTGTGTTGAATAATTCATGCAAATTGATTAAAGGGTATGATTGCAGTTTATGATTATCAAAGTAGCAAATTGAAAGTTTATTACCTTTCTGTTTTTTGGTAGTGTGCCTTTTTGGCATGGGGGTTCAATGGAAAAGAACTGGGTCATATCAGGGTTAATATGTTTGAATTGTAAAGTCTGATTTATAATATCGTTGAAAAATCTATTTTATGAAAATATGTATATATATATATAAAATAGTATGATGTTGTGGAAAGATTCTAATTTGAGAGTGAAATATAAGATGCATCCTGTTGTTTATGTACATCATTTCTACTTATAAATATATATGATTATGACTTGTGAGTATATGATAGATGTTGATCACCATGTATGCTGTGCACACAGGATATGAAAAGTGTGGGAATGCAGTACTTAGAAGCTATTAGGAAGCTGAAGGATTCTGGTTTCAAGCCAATTCGTACTATTTAATTATCATATGTGCCAGATGAAGAGATTGGGGGACGCGATGGGGCTGAAAAGCTGGCCGAGTCTAATGTGTTTGAGAAAATGACTGTGGGCCTTGTGCTGGATGAGGGAATACCTTCACCAGATGAGAAGTATTTGGCGTATAATGGGGAGAGGTCGGCAATGTGGCTGGTTATCAAGGCTACTGGGGCACCTGGGCATGGGGCAAAGCTGTATGACAATACTGCAATGGAGAACTTGATGAAGAGTGTTGAGAGTATCAGGGTTCAGGGGTTTTCGTGCTTCGCAGTTTGATATGCTAAAAGCTGGAATGAAAACTGACGTAGAGGTGATTTCGGTGAACTTGGTATATTTGAGAGCTGGCACACAAACACCTAATGTAACTCAGTGTCTTTATTGTGTTCTCGGGTCTGATGCTCAATGATGAGAATCATTAGATAACAGTTGCCTAAGATACAATTGTTCTTAGAGTGATTTTGTTATTGTCTCTAAGGGATTTGTCATGAATGTACAACCTTCTGAAGCTGAAGCAGGTATTCACATTCGGGTTCCACCTACAGCTGATCAGAAATCACTTGAAAGGAGTATTGCCGAGGAGTTGGCTCCTGCTTCACGCAACATGACAGTCGAGGTAACAGTTGCTTGATTAACAAGATTTTTTCCGTACTGAAGCACACAATGAAATAATAAGCATTGTTGCCTTGCATTGTGAAAGCATGTATCAACAAATTCAATTTCATCATAACCTGCTATCAACTTATCTCCTTGCATGCTTATGCTATTGTTTGATCCGATGGTATATGCTATACTACTGATAGTCATTATTTTATTGAAATTTATTAATCATGTCTGATTTTTTTAGTAGAAAATGAGATGTACAAATACTGATAGTCAATATTATAACTTTCTAAGAGGCATAAAGCCATAAAGTAGTCATATTTCATATACTCATATTGTAAAATCAAAATACTAGTATTAAAATAAAAATAGTAGATCCATTAGAAGACTACGATAGTTAAAATTTCTTTAAGACAAAACCACTATTATTAACCAAAACCACTTTTAGACAAATCCATTCTTTAAAATTTTAAATTTATGCATGAAGTATTTATATTCTAGGCTTAAGGCTTCTAGCATTATGTATGCCAGTATATATATCAATATATGTAGTACTACGTATACTAATTGTTTTTGTAACAATAAACTTAGCACGCAATAACAATACTAATTGTCTTCATGTAAAATAAACTTGGTAAAAAGAAAGGAAATTTTGTCAGAAACCACCTTTTATAACACTTTTTTTTTTTTTTGAAAAAACACCTTATAAAAAATTTCTTATGAATATACATTTAAAACCAAATTTTTTGCGAGATAACACCTTAAACCAGTTTCAGGTCATTGACTTGATTTTCTGGCGTTGATCCCTCACGTGTTCAGATTAAAATAATCCCTTTCTTTTTTTTTTTTTCCCCTTTTTTCCCTCCAATTGAACTTCCTCTAATACAATGGCCACAATTTTATTGTGACCACTCAAAAGTCATCTAAATATATAGAATTCCATTAATAACAAGAAAGCTAAAGCCAACGCACATAAGAGGCGAAATTTCAACAAATCCCTAGTATATTCGACTCATATAAATTAATGCAATAAAATGAAATAGACATCTCAATAAAATACTTGATAAGCCAGTAGAACACGTATATACTATGATGTTCAACCTTAAATGAGTAGTACTACAAAATATCATTTTTTTTTTCCTGGAAAATAGTACAAAATATAAATCCTGTCAAACTAATTATTTGAGTGTCCTCCTTAAATACGTGAATTCTCAACTACCTTAGGCTTTCCTTGAGGAAGAAAGAGAGAGAAGTATTCAGTAAATGGCAGTCAATAAACACATATTCTCTAATTTAGTAATCTTCATCCTTCTATGCTTCTCCAATTTCGCTTTATCTGTCACCGCTGTAAGTACACCTATCGTTGTTGTAACATTACTGGTTTAAATTTAACGTGACAACTAATTTCATATAGAGGTAATCCGAGTATATATTAAATTCTCTAATTTTGTATGTTTTGTTGGTTTAATAGGATGATTATGAGTGTGTATACACAGTGTATGTGAGAACAAGCAAGGCCATCAGGGGAGGAACAGACGCGATTATCAGCGTAACATTCTACGATGATACAGGCAACGGTATACGAATCAAAAACCTTGAGTCATGGGGTGGGCTTATGGGGCAAGATCACGACTACTACGAGCGAGGTAACTTGGACATCTTCTCAGGCCGAGGCCCATGTCTAAGCAGGCCCGTTTGCTCCATGGAGCTTGTGTCCGATGGGTCTGTCGGACACCACGGTACAGCTAGGTGGTACTGTAACTACGTCGAGGTCACTACCACTGGGCCTCACATCCAGTGTGGTCAGCAGTTGTTTACGGTTGAACAGTGGCTCTCAGTTGATAAGTCTCCTTACCAGCTCTTTGCTGTTAGGGATAATTGTGAGAACTCTGATGGAGTTAAACGACGTCGTCCAAATAATACACTTCTTCCTGTGGAAACCCTCCTCACTGTTGCTTCCGATCCTCTTGAATTCGAACCTCCTAAGTCTTGATTAATCACTACATTAATCAAGTTTAATGGGTTTTGAAGTTTGATTATGTAAAATTTTTTATTATATCTGTGGACTTTTGTATGTATGATCATTTAAATAATTGGAGCTTCAAAGTAATAATGTTTGATTTTAATTGGCACTATATTGAGTATATATTGTGCAAATATATGCTGATTTTTCTTACCTTTTCTCTATTTTCTTATTATATTCTGTCCAATTTTATGAAAAAACTTTGTTAGTTGGTTATTTAAGTTTAAGATAAAAATTATGGTTGTAATCGTCCATTCAATATTATGTATGGAGTATTTTTGTACATAAAACTACGTTGTACATTGAACATTTCTATTTTTAACGAAGACGTTTTCACAATCACTTATCCACTATACTAATCATAGACAGTTGTACATTAATAAGATGTATGACTCTTCACAAATTCTTATATGTGGCTGGCCACACCGTGTGACAAGCCGTTATAAAGGTTACTTCGTTAGTGGTATAGGGGTTAGGGTGTAGAATTTACTCCGTCAGTTTTATAGGAGTTACTTTGTTCTTTTGTAAGTGGCCACACATTATAGCCGGTCTCACACAATATGGATTGATAATTATTACTTGTTTTCAAGTTTGCCATCAATATCTAGGGCCAGGCATAGAAGATCATTGAAGTTAATGTCATTTATGCCCTATCTTAAACCTACGTGTGTGAACATACAACGGCCACGTTTCCAGCTATCTGAAACTCTGAAAGCAACTGCTAGAGATACTCCTAGGCCTCCAGTGGTGGTCAAGTAAGCAAGGAAGAAGCATGGCAAAGGCAGTAAAACCAATTATTAATGCAAGGGCAGGGGAGTCATTAGCATTTATAATTTTGTTAGGGGAGTTTGTTATAGAGAAGAGAAGAATCTATTAGCAAGTGGTTAGAAGGCTAAGTTTATTTAAGGGAGGGAATTCAGTTGTAATAATCATGCCAAAAATATTGTTAAGCTTTGCTTAGTTGGAAAGCTCCTTTCCTCTCGAATGAAAGGGTGTCTTGAGAGATTATACTGATCATCAATTCAATCTATCCCCCCTCTTTTTTCTCTAATTGCTGTTTGTAGCATATTTGGCAGCGATATAATCCTTCACAAAACTAATCGATTGATTAGTGGTATTTGTTATCTTGCTAATAATTATGTGTGATGATATTGTAAACCAACATGCATTTTATGTGTTTTATTTCCTGTACTATTTTAATTTCAATCAAATGTAATACAATTTTATGTGATTAATTGTGTTTCTCAAATGTTGGTTGAAGGTATTTAGCCTACATCAATATAATTAACATGAATTAAATACTTTTTCCTAGCATATAATTAATTATGTCGCAAAAAATATAAAACACCAAAAATTTAATTAAAATGGAATTAATAATAATTCAAATACCATAATTACAACATTTACAAATTAAATAATGTAATTACAAATAATTAAAAAATTTAAAAACATAAACAAAATTAATTGAAAAACGAAAATTGAAAAATCAAATATTAAAATACGTAATTATATATAATTTAAATAAATTTAAATTTTCAACCGTAATTAAAAAATGTAATTGATAACATTATTAACTATTGTATTCATTTAAATATGCATAAACATAAATTAATAAGCATAAATTATATGGAAAAGATAAATGAATAGGAAAGAGAAAATATGATGGGGTATAAATGTATAATAAAATGTAGGAGAAAGAATGGTAGGCATTTTTTTTTGGCTCATAAATGTGGTGGAATTTTGCTCACCAAAAAAACTCACGAGGAAAGTGACGTGGATGAGTGAGAAAGTGGTAGAGAGAAGTAGAGAACCGTAAGCATTTTTGTCCCTCATGAATGGGAATGCTCTAAGGAAAGGGTAGTACTCCCTTCGATTTTTAAATACTTGCTTCATTTTAATTTTTTGCACTATTCATTTATCTTACTTTGACTAATATTTATGATTTATACTTCACTACATAAGAAAAAATATAGTCTTGTGGGTACTTGTTGAAATAATCTCAATGAATAGATTAATAATTTTTAATTGTTAGAATTTATATATATTAATAATTAAAGATATACTTGATCAAATATTTGTATCGGCATACATGCCCCGAGAGAAATGGAGCAAATATTTAAAAACTGAGAAAGTATTAGTAAAAGGGATAAAATTTTGTAATGAAATGAAAGAAAAGTGGAGAAAAAAGAGATTTAGTAAAATTACAGTATTTTATAGCACTTATTACTTATTCCTCCTATCAATTTATTTATAATGTTGTACAACTTCCCGATTCCAAATCAAGTGATCGGATAAAATTAGTTTAATAATTGGAGTATCCTCTTTAAATAAGTCAATCCTCAGATCTATCTGTTGGTTTCTAGACCTAGAGAGAGAAAAGCATTATCACCTCCATAAATCACAAGACAAATGGCAGCCAAACACATCCTCTCCAGTTCACTCATCCTCCTATCCCTCTTCATTTTTGGTCTATCTTCAGTCACCGCTGTAAGTACATCCATCTATTTTATACGACTCGGATTTAGTTGTGGCGTTACCAGTTTAAATTTAACGTGACAACTAATTTCAAACAGATCGATCTGAGTTAATCATACATCTAAGTTTTGGTTTAACTAATGGTGAAGTTTGCTTTGTTTTGTTTGTTTGATAATGGACAGGATGACTACGACTGTGTATACACAGTATATGTTAGAACAAGCAAGGCCATCAGAGGAGGAACAGATGCTAATATCAGCGCTATATTCTACGACGATACAGGCAGCGGTATACTAATCAAAAACCTTGAGGCCTGGGGCGGGCTCATGGGCCAGGACCACGACTACTTCGAGCGAGGCAACTTGGACATCTTCTCGGGCCGAGGCCCATGCCTCAGCGGGCCCATTTGCTCAATGGTGCTTACCTCCGATGGATCCGTCGGGCACCACGGTACGGCTGACTGGTACTGTAACTACGTCGAGGTCACCACCACTGGGCCCCACGCCCAGTGTGCTCAGCAGTTGTTCACCGTTGAACAATGGCTTTCTCCTCCTGACCAGCTCTCTGCTGTTATTGACAATTGTAAAAATACTCATGGTCTCAAACGACGTCGTCCCACCAATGCACTTCTTCCTGTTGAAACGCTCCTTGCTGCCTCCTCTTCATCAATTTATTGATTAATTACTCCGTGTATTTTATCATTAAAGTTTGATTATGCATTACTGTCCATTCAATAAAAATTTTCTTGTTTGTATCGTCACTTCAATAATTGATGCATCAACGTAATTACTCGTAGTTTTTAATTTCAATTAGTACTGTATTTAATACTCGTATGTATGTGTTGTCCAATTTTCTCTTATCTCTAATTATTATATTTGTCTTAAATATTCTAAAAAAGCTTTGCTTCACGCAGTTGTAATATATACGGACTAATAATTATGTAACGTTTAGACAAAATACATTTTAATAGGGTAGACTCACAATCACAAAACCACTAATTTAGAATTCGTTTGGTAACGTTGTAATTTTTTTTTTTTTTTTTTTTTTTGTTTTATCACAAAAACAATGTTAAACAAGCTCGTATATTTATCATGGACAATTGTAGAATTGGACATCAATGTTATTATTAATGAAATAAAAGTCAAATTTATTTATTCCGGATCTTTTTTGGAGGTGTGGACAAGATCAAATTGCCAGGACAATAATAAACAATTAAACAACAAAACTTGAAGGGATTTGTTGAGCGGCCACGTGACACGTCTGTAGCTACCTGAAAGCAACTTCGTTGACATATTATACTTTGCTGAACGAGTTGAGGGGATTTGTTGAGGGGATCAAACCACGTCGATTAGGCGAAATTAGCGGAGCTTTTATTTTACGGAATTTTTACCATATCCCATCAAAAATTAGGGGTGTCAAACGGATCAGATTAGGTCGGGTTCGTGTTCGGGTCACTTAGTTTCGGATCAGGTGACTCCCAAACTAAACCTGATCTATTTAAGTTTTCGGGTTGAAAATCTCAACCCGAAAATGATCCGACTTGACCTGTTTTTTTTTTTTTAACCTGAACAACCTGATTTTGAGTCCACAACCAAATGTAAATCAATCCCAAGAGCTCTTAGTGAACAAGTGTTCAATTGTCTTTATAAACAAAATTCGCACACCCCAAAATAATAAAAATTCTTGCAACTTCATTCATATATCCCTCCAAATGCAAAATTTATACGGAGTTTTTACATAAAATCCAGTTTGATAATTATTCATCGTCTGTATTTAAATTAATAATTATAAATCTAACTTGCATCAAACATCGGTTCTCTTTGATTGTTAAAAAACAAAAAAAAAAAAAAAAAGCTTCAGCTTCCTCTTGAGACCCTTCTAGCACGAGCAGAACTTACATAAGCAATAACAAAATAACAAACATTAAGGATAGCATGAGCAAACCTGCATGAATTTGTAACGAGCATAAACCCTTGAAAAAATTTGAACAAAAAATTGAACATAAAACCCAGAAAAATCGAACAAAAAACCCCAAAAAAATCGAAATAATAACAAGAAATTCAAGAATATACCTTAATTAAGCCTTGAATTTGTTTGTAAGGTCAAGTTCGACCATAACAACTCTAGATGTAGAGTTTTCATGGTCGAATTTGACCATAAAAACCTTTAAATTCATCAAGACATGGTCGAATTTCGTGTGGTATCTCGGAGTAGTTCGTAGGAAAAAGGGAGGTGTAGTATTTACAACTATTATTTAGCCCATTCCTCAAACGAAGTTTTTACAGGATCCCTATCTACCAAAATTTTTACTTCTGGTGTATTTTACAAATTATCCCAAGCCAAAATGGATACAGGGAGCAACAATAGATCGTATACTAACGAAAATAGCCTACAGTAAAGTCATGGATAAACCCATTAATTATGTCCTTTGCATAGGGCATTTTCTTGGGAAGGGATGATTTATAGACAGAACCATATTTATTCTTCTTCCCACGAGTTTCACAGAGAGATTAAGAGTAAAAAAACCATCTCAATTGTTGTTGACAATACATAAATTTCGGAGTTAATACAGAAAAGAGAAGGAACTCAGGAAGGAGGAGGAAGAAGGAAGAAGAAGATGGAGGAAGAAGATGAAGGAGGAAGGAAGGAGAAATGAGGAGAGAGAATTTTATATGGGTTGTGCATTTGTGCGGCTGTTGTTACTTTTATAGTTATGGTTTTGGTTTTTTGTTTATATTCAAAAATTCAAGTTAAGTGGGTCATTTTCGGGTTGGAATTTTCAACCTTAACCTAACTCATTTAAGTTTTTGTGTCGAAAATCTCAACTCTGACCCGCTATTTTCAGTTCGGGTCGGGTTTTCGGGTTGGGTCAGTTTTTACTAGCCCTACCAAAAACTTTCTAATTCACCATGTACCACTGAGTTTAACATAAATGTCACAACATGCCATTTTCTGTTAGTTCTGTTAGTTATTAACGTTAATTGTGACATGTGGCAGCATTTAAGTGGTTCTTATTTAAATTAATTAATTAAAAAAATATTTAAAAAAAATAACAAAAAAATCCGACCATCGCAAGCCCAGCCAGTCAGCCCTCCTCTCCGCCCCCACACCGCCTCCAGCTTGCCTTCCACCCTGCTGTCGGCGCCCAAACTCCCCTTCCCCTGTGCTGGCGCCGCCTCTCACCCTAGTCATGACCCTTGAAAACCACCACCACTCCCGAAAATCCATCCACAACCCCCACCACAACAATTGAAAACCACCCACAACCTCTAAAACCAACCACCACTCCCGAAAATCTACCTACAACTCCTGAAACCCTTTTAACCACACCAAAACCCACCCACGAGAAGAATCGACCAGGTTGGAGGAGTGAAAAGTACAAAAATTGGGTTTTTTGTTGGAGTTAGGGAGTGATTTCGTGGATTAAGGTTTGACTGGTGGCACGATGGGGGAAGAGAGAGGATCGAGGTAAGGATTAAAGGTAGAGGGTGGGTCGGCCGGTGATGGAGGGCCGGTATGGCCTGTTACCGGGGTAGGGAAGGTGCTACTGGTAGGTGAGAAGGTGGTTGGGAGGTAAACTGGTGGTGGGATTGTGGAAATTAGGGAAAGGATAGGGGGAAAGGAGAAGGTTAGGGGCGGGGGTTGTCGCCGGTGGGGGAAGGGTGATGGACGCCGACCACCTAGGCACCGGCCAGGGCTGAGGTGGGGGGGGGGGCAGCGGTGGCTAGGTTGATGGTGGTTTATTTATTTATTTATTCTCTTAAAAGTTTTTTAATTCTTTATTTAAGTAATTAATTAAATAATATTAATAAGAGCCAATAAGTAACAACCACGTGACACAATTAACCTTAATTACTAACGGAGTTTACGGCGTTAGTCATTAAGGGCATGTTGTGACATTTATGTTAAACTTAGTGGTACATGGTGTATTAGAAAGTTTTTGGTGGTATATGGTGAATTAAGTTAAAACTCAGTGGTATATGGTGAAAAAACCCGTTTATTTTAAGATGATCATTAGTATGTTTAGGATGCGACTTATGTGCAGTGCGCCAGTGCATGATTTATTTATTTATTTTATTTACTAGATAATACCTGAGTCATGCTCGATTTTTAATGAGGGTAATTGAAATTAAATATAGAAGTCTCATGAAAAATGTGATTTAAAAGTCCATCATAATAATAAATAATTAAAGTATAAAGTTTCTAGACACATTAATAATTCTGCAAAAATATAAACGAAAAAAAGGGAGTTTAGGAGGGAAAATTCCCTCAAAAAAAATCACTAATATAGTTTAGGTATATAGATAGATGGGTTTAACATTTGAGCGGGAAAATTTTTCATGAGGTAGCGCCACATATACAGCTTTGGAAAAATATGACATCAGCGGTTGCTACTTTAGTATTAGTTATAAATTTGTTTTATTTTTACGATACCACCTTCTGCACTCGGATGTTTGTTAATTTATAGGTAGACCTAAAAATAAGTATGCCAACTTTTCATTATACGTTGTTAAATATTGGACATTTGGCATCCCTAATAATATTACAACTTCTTTAATACACTAAGTATAAAAATAAAATTAAATAAATAAATAAAAATCCAAATGGTATCACTAAACTTTTGGCTTTTTCAAATGATACTTTTATTTTATCTTTCTTTCAAATAGTACCATTGAGTTAAATTATTAAATTGAGCTACAGTAAACCTATTGTTAATTAAATGTTAATTAGATTTAGAGTTTAATTAGTTTTTTAATTAAATTGAGCTCGGCTCGAGCTCGAGTGCTAAAAAATGGAGCTCGATTCGTGGCTTGGCTTAAGCTCATTATTGGCTCGAGTTCAAAATCAAACTTATCAAAATCAAGCTTGTTATAAGCTTGATTTTGAAAATAGGTTCTTGATTTTGAAAATAGGTTCATTTAGGCCCATAAATATATAATCTATGTCACATAACTTACTTAACTACCCAAGTATAATAACCGGCTCCTGTTATTGTGCTTATTAACTTATTATTTACTTTTCTTAAATGTAAAAAAAAACATATAATATTTATTTTAAAAATAATTTGAGCCGCTCGCGAGCATTTTGAGCCGAGCTTAGCATGGCTCGTGTATCGTCTCGTTTCGTCTCGAATCAAATCTGAACTCGAGCCGAGCTCTACCGAGTTGAGCTCGAACAGTTCACGATCAGGCTCGAATTATTAATAACCCTTATGACAACATTATAATCTACTCCATAAACTTAAAAACAATTACTTCCTCCTTTTTATTTTATAATTTCAACAATTTGACTTTTACACTATTCATGTGTTCCACTTTGACTAGTTTTCATGATTTATAGCTATACAAAAGTATAGTCATGTGAGATCAATTAGATTTGTCAGATTTATACAATTTTAATATCAAATATTTATAATTTTTACACATTGGTAATCTAGGTAATTGACGATTGAAATCATGCATTGGCAAGCGTGAAAAGAGAAGTGTTGCAACTATAAAGAAACAGAGGAAGTGTGTTTTTTCTATTCAACTGAGGTTAAAAAACCAAAGATAAAGGATAAAACCAAAAAACAAGCAAGAAAGCAAAAATTAAACCTAAACAAAGAGACCTAAGCTACGGAGGGACTAGACGCGGTAAAGCAACACCCCTAGCGTCCTCCTCTAAAATACGACCTAACTCTGAAGGAACAACAGTAATGATAATCAATTGAGAGTCCAAAGTGACTCCGCGGTTGGCTAACCAATCCGCCGCTCTATTCCCTTCACG